CCTACCCAGGGGTAGGTCTAGCTTGCCTGAACATAAGTACAAACGACAAAAAGTTGAACCGCCCTAACCCTAGGGTACGTCCAACCCACAGCACATCAATGACAAAGGCATATCACTACGCCGCCCTAACCCTAGGGTACGCCTAGTTAGCCATACAGTTCAAGTCACATAAGGCAATGWGATTAGGCTGCCCTAATAATTATAAACACTGAAATGTTGGACCGCCGTAACCCTAGGGTACGTTCAACTTACATTAAACGACAAAGGCTTATCGCTAGGYCGCCCTAACCCTAGGGTACGTCTAGTTAGCCATACAACAGAAAATAGGGTACAAATACTGTCACAGACTTTCTGTTTTTCCTTCTCTTGTTAGGCAGTCAATCGGAYCTTTCCAACTAGTGGAACTTCCGATTCAGCCTCATGTCTAGAAGGGGAAATAAAATCARATTTATACTAACTCTCTGCTCCTTAGTGTTATCATAAGCATATAATTGAACCGCCCTAACCCTAGGGTACGTTCAGTCTGCCCAGTTACCTTTGTTTTACTCTTCATTGCTTTCCCTCTTCCTTAGCTCTACCTGACTTACTGACTGGCTTTCCCCACCCAGGGCGCGCGGTCTGTCAGAAGTATAAGTTCAAATTGTATATATATCAAGTTTTATACTCTGGTTGACCATTTAGTTCATGACTCATGGCTAAGCCTCCCTAACCCTAGGGTACATCTTATGCCGTTACTCCCTCAGAAGAAAACATACACCAGAACTCATTAAAATAAACACCAGGATTCTGAGCCTTCCTCACCCGGGGTGCCTATCCTCCTGTTCAGAAACCCTCAAATAAAACAGCGACTGATCCTATCCCACCCGGGTAGACCATCCATAAGAGTCACTCATTCAGATCAGCAAACCTCAATAAAACACAGCACTGAGCCCACATCCACCCGGAGGGGCTCAGCCTCGGGTTGACCTGGTCAAACGCATGAAAAACTCCTTTTTCTCTCCTTCCCCCAATTCCTTTTGTCTGAATTCGCTCAAAGTATCTAACTTTTTTCATATATAAGTGTTTATTTAACCTTTCGCAGAGCATGTCCTGACATACATAACAAAAGTAAGAAGTAATAACCTCACATAGCTGTGTTCAAGTAGCCCAAGGATAAAGGTTAGGGCAAGGGGTCACACAGGTTAACGAAGATATACCTGAAGTTCCCTGCCTCCAGAACCCCGCCTGGGCTCCGGCAGAGCTCTCGCAATCGGTGGGTGGACCTCCCACAAGGTCTTGATGCGGACCTACGGGTTGCAATTCCGCCTGCCGCCTTCCTCTCGTAACCTCATACTAGACTTAGAGTAAGAAAGGTAGAAGTAGGGGTTTCAAACGCTCGAGATACAAGAAAGAGACTGATTCAACTCGCAGGAGAGGGCCTTGAAGTCTTCCGCTCCTGAAGGTCCCGCAATGATGACCAATATCGCAGTGGAGTCAAGCAAAACGCGGTTTCAATTCAAGGTATCGTCCTCCAGACGATCCTCCAAGATCACAACAATGCTGTAACCAATAGGGCTAAGCCCAAGTCTGGTTGCAGAAGGCCCAGTTCTGCGTATGAAGAGTAAATGCAGGCTGTTACAGCCTATCCGGGCCTGCAAAGATGCGCCAATGCCTTCTCTTGGTCTGCCCCTTGCGCCCAAGCCCCGGAAGGCCATGTTCTCTGCTTGGAGGACGGTTATTGCTGAGTTTACCATGCGCACTTCCCCGCCATGTCGCGGTCACGGGCCGAGGCTCTCATAGCCCGCAATACTCATCGAAAAGAGTATGCTTTTATCGTCTTTGGTCAGAAAGACCCCGACTTTTGCTCGCGTCGTATCCACGCATCGTACCTAGCTAAATTTTGTTACAGCTCCTACCGTTGATACCTTTATAGTCAATTGTAGTACTTACATACTTCACATGGTGCGGCCTCAAAATGTCGCCCTTCCGCAAGTCAGTCGAAAGTTTTTCTCTAGCCATAGCTTCGACGGTCCAACTTCGCGCTGGTGGGGACTCCGTCAGTACGTTCAAAGTCTGCGGCTCGTGCTACGCTATCCGAACCCCTACCTTACTTTTAACTTGGACCGCCGAGCGGTCCGTCTGTTCACACTATTTGACTAACGCGTGCCCACAAAGTGCACGCCCACACACTCTTTGAATAAGCTATGCATGCGCCCACCGTCCCTGACTTCAAAGTCAGTCACGGTCGAGCGAAAAACACGCTAGTTCCTTAAATTTTATCAAGAGTGCTCCTCCTGCGAGGTGCAAAAGTAGGCACAATTACCCTTGTAAGGGTATTGGTGCCGACAATTTTTCCGGACCCTATTAAGCGACGTCCCCGTCGCGTCGAACAATCAAAGGCTATAACCACTCAAAATCTCATCCGCTGACGAGGTAGTAACCATTCCGACTAGCCGGCTCGACTCCGTTAGAGGCATCTTGTCAATTTACCCCAGTCACGGTGTTCCACTGCCAGGGTTTTAACCTGGGTCTCCCACATCCTGCCATAGGAGTTAGGGTGTACTGTCATCCGTACTACAGCGTAATACCCGCTTCCAAGTAGTAGATTGATAACCCTCCTCGCTTCGTCGTAGACATCTGCTGGTTTATCGTTGGGTGTCCTAATGAGTCATCGTCCCGCGTACGGGGTCATAACTCAGGACGCGGGCCCTAACCGAGACCTCTCTAAAAAACCGGGGCACCTTTAGTCCCGAAAATGGTAATTTTTTACCATCTCAAATATCTCTCGTAATAACTGCCCACCCTGGTGTCTACACAGGAGGTTTCATCTCTCCATCTTGGCCTACCTTAGAACGGTCGATCACACCGTATCCACGACTCATCGCATTGTTATATAGCGATGATGCCCTCGTTGGTTGCGCAACAATAGGCATACTTACTGACTCTCGAACTCATTCAACCCCACTGACTCCCCCTAGCTATACTTCTCTGGGCGGCCGACCCTTCAAGATTTAACCATTGGTGAGTCGTGGTCCCGCTGCCAGGTTGCGTCGGTCAGCGACCCTCGCTAGAAGTTAGGTTCTATAGTTCCAGCGATGCTAAGTATAGCCCCTTAGCTTGGCCTCACAAAATATGTCCCCCTAGACTAACCATTGTGGTCTGGCAAATAACTCTGGACAACCTCTAGATTCACATACCCTCCGAACCTCGGACTATGTGGGGGGATAGTGTCTTTTTCTCTCTGTATTCCAGCAACTTTCTCTCTTATCCACAAGGTCGTGCCCCCCTTTACTTTGATCAGAACAGGCGGCGGTCACATGTCTTAGGGACACCTCACAAAAGTCTCCCATCATAATTGGCAGAAAATTTCCATCCATAATTCTCACAAAGATTTTGGTCTTCCCTCGTCAGACTTTCACTCATACATACAATTTCCTCATCATTATAGCAACTCATTTGAGTGCTCCCTCATAGTTCCACTCTTATATATATGTGGAAAACCCAACGGCCATTGAGTCTCCTTCTCTCATTTTCTTTTGAACCACACAAAAGACACAACTTTTAGTTGTGACCTCTCTATTTATCATCACTCAAATCCTTTTGAACTCGTTACATATTTCCTTATTCCAAACAGACGTGAGGTGCACTCTCTTTCGCTGTACTTATGACTTTGTTTGTACTTAGGCATATCTGTCATTAGAACAGACAAAGTCATAAGTACAGAGGAAGATAGTGCAGATCAGGTCATTTCCAGAACATTTATTTCTCGTCACAATAATCATTCATATGGGCAAGTCCACAACTGAGAGTGAGCGTGATTCACGAAAAAAAAAAAAAAAAAAGTCTGAGATTCGCACAAATACACAGAACGCGGGGACCTTGCAAATAAGCAAAGGTTCCTGTCCGTATCGAAATGATCCAAATATCGTACAAAAGAAATCAAATATTATACAAAGTACCGGGGTACCGTACCAAGTGTCACAGTATCCAACCAAAGATGAAGGTACCTAAAAAAAGTCAAAATATCCAAGAAAGTCAAAAAGTAAAAGAGAGCCAGAGTATCCACACCTCACATCATTCACACACTGTCTGACTCACCCTGCTCCGAAAGAGAAAGAATCATAAACTCACACAAAAGCACTACCTAGAGGCTAGGAACACTCCACACCACACTAAAAAAAGAGAAAGAAAAACCGAAGTAGTCAGTGTCACGCTCAATGCTATCCTATGTACACTAAGTCTGAAAGTCTATATGCGAAAGTAAACATCTCTGTAATGACTTAATTAACTGATGTACATGAGCGTGATCCAATCCTCCGTGTGTTCTTCTATATACAGCCATCCATCAGTAGTGAGTCAGAGATGTTCTACACATGTCAGAATCTAGACCTTTCCGGACCCTATTCGTAAATCCTACTCCTGATCACTCATGTCCTCCTCCAGTTGCCTATACAACTGAGCCCGTATCCCATCACGAGTCTTCACGATCAGGTTCTCATCTCTGTCCCTGCGCACGCCAGATGGTTCCCATAAAAACAAACCGTCGGCCTCATCCTTGAGGCTTTTGGGACAGGTCTCCTGTGGGTGCTTGCCTTTCTTGCAGTAGAAGCATCTTCCAAACTTCTTCTGCTCCATCTTGTCAGTTGCATGGGAGGGTACAGATGAGGGGGCTACTGTGGCCTCACTGGTGACCTCCTGCTTTGGGACAAGATCCTAGTGCATCCTCCAAACCTGCAACCAGAGGCATATCCTGAGGTGGTGGGGTCTTCTGAGAGACCTCCCGCTCCTCCTTCTCCTCAGTCTCAGCCATGGCCTGTCCCACACTCTCCTGAACCTCCTGTCGCCCCACAATCTTCCCCTGAGTCATGGAAAGTGCAACCTCATCCATCGCATCCTCTGCTGGTGGCCTAGCCTCATGTGCCAAGACTGTTGGCATCCTCCACTCAACCCCCCCAACCCCTGATTTCATCCTTGCTAGGACCTCCTTAGACTGCAACATCTCCTTATCTAGCAGGGGGATTTCCTCATCCTTCTGTTCATTTGCCCTCTCTTCCACCTTTTGACACTTGAAGGCCTCCTCTGCAGGCTGCTTCGTTATCTTAAACCTCTAGACCTCTGTCCAGTCTACCACTGCAGTAGGTGCCTGCTGTGCACACTTGGCCTCAAGGTCCATGATTCTCTTTTCCCACTTTGCCTCCTTTACTTGAAAGGTGTTCTGCTGTATCTGCAAGTAAGCCCTCAGATTGTCATTGACCTTGTTAAGGGTCTGGTTGACCTGTCTGATGGCCTCATTCCCTGACCAAACCTTCTCCATCTCAATCTTCATGGCCTCCACTTCCTTGTTCTGCCTCTCCAACTCCTTCTTGAGATCTCCTATTTCTTTCTGCCAGTCCATTCTCTGCTCATGAAATGCCCGCGCCACCCTTGTCAACCTCTTCTCCATCTTTTCATCAGAAGTCTTGGCTGCCGCAAAACCCTCTTTCATAAGGCCCTTTAGGCTAAGCAAGTCTGTAGAGACCAGCTTAACCCCCATCTCCTGATGCTGCTCCCTGGGCCTCCCTGTTGCCTCGAACAACTTATCAAAGTTGTCCTAAGCCTCCGTGAAAAGAGGAGTCTCATCGTCTTAAGTAGGTGAACCAATTCCCTTTCTGTCGTCTAGTATCACAGGCTGCTCTCCCTGCGCAACCTTCTCGTGCAACTCCTTAATATTCTTGAGTCTGATTTGGACTCTGATTTCTCTCGCTATTGCTGCTCTCTCTTCCTTGTCCTGTTCCTTCTCTCTTGCAGCCTGGTTCTCATCCTTTCCCTGACCCTGTGCCCTATGAGACGTCTCTGGCTGCATGCCTGGCCTAGGAGTGGTCTCAGGTACCTGAGCAGGGTGAGGAGGTATATCTGATCCACCTGAGGGCCCTCCCCTCTGGGTCCTCTCTGCAGTCTGCTCCTCTTTCTGTTGAGTTCTGCCAATATGCTGGTCCTCCCCCCTCTCCTGCCTCTGGGACCTGTGCTCTCTCCTCTGGCCATCCCTCTGAGCTCCTGATGTCATGCCCTGCTCAGAGGTTCTCCTCTCTGCAGTCTCTGGCTCCTTTCTCTTTCTCTGCACACTCCTCCTCTCCTCTGCCTGATGAGTTGGAGTATAGTAGTTCCAAAGCAATTTCTTGCAATGGCCTCAGTTTGTGGCAGGCTCCACAATAGATCTGACGAAGGACCTGAGGTGTTCCCTTACAAACAGAATAAAACCCCTCACCCTCTGGCTTGGTGGCTCGTTGATGCTGTCTGCAAACTCGTCGTAGCCCTTCATGAATTCCTATAGGTTAGTGGCATCAAAACGGATGGGTTGTTCATCCCTTCCTAGTGGCGATGGGTGCAAGCCCTCCATCTTCCTCTCAAAATCCTGCAAGGTCAATGACTCCCTGACGAAGTTGGCAAGGGGCTGTGCCCACTCGCCTGCTCCTCGCACCTCTCGCAGCATCCTGCTACTATCCCATTCAAACTCATGACCGCGCCTTCTGAACCCAACCATGAACAGCTCAACGTTGTCTCGTGTATAAATGGGTGGCTTGTCCTCTCTCCTGGCCCTCATCTGCGTTCCTTGTCTGGTAACCCCCAGAGGGGTTTCCACTGGCCCTGCCCCTCCCCTCCCTCTTGGCATGGCTGCCCAAAAACTGGTGTCAAGCGTGCACAACAAGGAAGAGACAGACGAAAGCACACAGAGGGTAAGCAGGTTCGGTAAACAAAACAGGAGACAGACATTCCCCTCCCATATCTATCTTAACTTCCTATACATACATCTATCACACCATTTTACTGAGAAACATACACAATTTTCTCATATATATATCTCTATCTACTAATACTTAACAGAAAGGGATTCTAAATTGTGGGACCCATGCTCACCTCGTCTCGAGCGACAAACTTCTTTAACCTCGAGCCTGACACCCAATCTTTCCAGGCAGTCCCATTCAACTCGTCAATCTGGTATGCCCCATGCTCTCCACTCCTCGCGACCCTGTATGGTCCTAACCACCTCTTGTCCAACTTTCGTGACCACTACTTCTCTAGGGATGAATCATATAACAGCACAATGTCGCCCACCTTGAGAGGCTCCTTTCTTACCCTTGCCATCTTATCCCACCTGAACTTATCCCTCTGTCGACAGTCAGCCACCTTACTCGCCGCACTTTCAGTTTTGTCCTCTATGGCATTAATCTGACGAGCTCTTAAGTCTAGCAGTTTCTCAAATGACAAGTTTGTCTCGAGGTCCTGCCGCCTCCAAGTCTTTAGGAAGCTTTCGATAGGGAAGGTCGCATGTCTGTCATACCACAACGTTGCTGGCGCGTAGTTGGTGCTTCTTCTAACAGTGATGTTATCCACGAAGAAGGCGACCCTCAGGAAGTTAGGCCACTGATTTGGCCTACCACACGTCCATTTAGCGAGGAGGTTCATAATCGTACTATGACCTCTTTCCATAGGTGCATTAGCTTGAGGGTGCGCCGCAGTAGTATACTTTGCGATCACTCCATACCCTCTCAACAGTTTTTTCACCTCAGCACAAGTGAATTCGGACCCTCTGTCCATTACGAATCCGGAGACAAAAGGATAGCGGAGGTAATACTCCTCAATGCATCGAGCCAAGGTCTCAACAGTTTTTGTGCGTATGGCTCGGCCATCTACAAAACCGGAGAGGTTGTCTCGTGCATCGAAGATGAAGTTATATTCTCCTACCCCTAGCGGCATTGCCAACAAATCCAGGTGTACGACCGCCCCAACCTCGCGAACATACCTTGGGTAAAGCGGCTCCCTTGGCCTAAGGGAGGAACGCTCCTGACACGGTACACAAGACTTACAATACTTCTCGATCATGTGTCCCATTCCATCCCAGTAATACAAGTCGTGAATCTTTAAGTATGTCGCATCCGCACTCCTATGGCCACCTGCCGTCCCGTCATGAAGGGCTGCCATAACATCGATCTGATGGTTTACGCCACAAACCACCCTTTTGGGCCTCTTTCCTTTACTCGTGATAAACAGATGGTCGTTCCTTACCAAGAAATTTGACCGCATCTTGAGGACTTTCTCGCATGCATCCCTTTCTCTCATTTCACACGAAAGGAGCATTATTAACTCCAGATATATCCCGTCATACTCCTCCATGCGAAAAACCTCTTTTATCTCTCCCTTCTCAAGATCGTCGTCCTCTCCTTCGTGGATTACATTCTCATTCTCACCTTGCCGCTGATCCCCGATCCTTGCCACCTCGTCTTGAAGCAGAGCGTTTGTCAAGAGGTATATCCCACCTATCGATCTCTCGTGCCCTTCTACCTGTTGCGCCACATTTTCCATCGTGAGTAGGTCTTCGTGCAACTGGTATTTGTCTACTAAGGCCAGATCCATCATCCACTGCACGTTGGGCATCCCCCACAAGTCCTCTTCGATGAAAGGCTTAAGGACTAGGTCTGGCCGCCGTACATGTCCTAGAGGCGAGAGCGACACAGGTTGCCCAAGAGTAACGTAGTTACTCATGGCCATCGATCAAGAGTTGATGTGAAGTCTCACATCCTCCTCAGTGCCCAGAAACCCGTCGACTGGCGGAGTATCCTCGATTACTCCTTGATTATTTTTGTCCTTGTCGACTCGACTCAGTCCGTCTGCTCTATTCTTATTTCCTTGAATTCGCTCTAATTCAAAATCGAACATCCAGATATATGTTAACCACCTGGCGATAGTAGGGTCTGATGGAGCGAAATTCTTGAGAGAACCGGCTAGAGCAGTTGGATCCACCCTCAACATGAACCTGCTGCCGAAGAGGTAGTTTCTAAAGATCCTTAAGCAATGGAGAACTGTCAAGGTTTCACGCTTAAACTGAGAGTAATTTCTCTCAGTTGTGTTAAGTGTGCGACTTTCAAACCTTAGTGGGCGCTCCTCTCTGTTAAGGTCTTGCTGAATCAACACACTTCCTAGCGCAGTTGGCCCTGCATCAGTCTCTACAATAAAAGGCCTGGTCATTACCGCCGAGTGGTCCGGTACTCCCAGTACTAGACCCCCTTATTCGAATTCCTTCTTTAGGGTCTTTATTACCAATTCCTGCTTATCTCCCCATTCCCAGTCTTGTCCTTGGCGCACGCGCTTTCGAAGCTGCTTCGTCTTTGCTGCAAACCCTTTTATGAAGATCCTCCAGAACCCACATGTCCCGAGGAAACTTCTCACCTCCGTAATAGTCTCAAATGGGGTTGGCCATTCGAGAATCTTATTGGTTTTCTTAGTGTCTGGTCGACGACCCCTCTCGTCGCACACAAACCCCAAGATGGTGAGCCCGCTCATGCAGTACCTCGATTTAAACCCACTTGCAGTGAGGTTATGCTCCTTTAGCAAGTCTCGGACCCTGCACAAGTCTTGCACATGGTTTTAGACAAAGCGTCTAATCCCTGACATTACCTCCTGCTCGTTCTTCTCTTTAGGCTCTTTTACGGCCAAATCATCAATGTAAGGCTGAGTAATGTGAGGGCTTACTGGCTGCATTGCCCTCACCATGTGCCTCTGGACCATGGCGACTGCATTTGTCCACCCTTGCTGTGCGACATTCATGTGGATTAACCCTTGAGGGGTATGCATCGCCGTCATCGGCCTATCAGAGGGGTAAATAGGAAACTGATCGTAACCAGAATATAAGTCTATGAGAGATATGATGACTCTTCCAGCGCATGCCTCTGAAAGCGCATCTACGTTAGGGAGACCACCTGCATCTCTCACAGTTACAGCATTCAGGCGCTGCAAATCCTGTACCCACCTCAAGGTCCCGTTTGGTTTGACGAAACAAAACCAAGGGGATGCATATGACCCACTCGAGTAGTCTGATACGTGCGTACAAATTTTCCCATCAAGGTAGCTAACTACCTTTTCTTCATCAGCAGGATTAGGGTACCGCGTGCCTCGCAAATTCCATGGCTCGTGGGGAACGGTATGTATTCTAATCATCGGGATTCTATGCACGTCCAGACGGCCCCGTTCATCATCATTGAAGGCATATGCAGTATGCCTTCCTCTTATGGTCTCTACCATAAGCCTCTCCTCTTGCGCCGTAAGGAAGCCGGACTCTCCTATAATCAGTATCTTTTCTGTCTCAGGAGTGATACGACATGGCCAATTATGTGCGTCCTCTCGCATCTGCCATTTCAACTCTCGTTCCTGCTCGTAATAAACATCTTGTTCCTCAGTCACGAGCACAGGAACATGACGATATTTTTTATCTACTCTTTTGTACCGCCTTTGTGACCCTTGCTTGAGCCCACCCCTAAAAAAGGCCGAGTTGCACTCAGGGGTTGGGCTCCTGCCGATCCTCCTCTCTTTCCGGGCGTCCGATATACCAGTTTCACCTCTCCTTCACCCATCTGTTCCATCACCTTTTCTCTCAAGGCCTCTACGGCCTCCGGGTCTGCCATCCCATAGGTTGACACTATGTCCATACCATCGCTATATTGGTCAGGCTAAGAGTCAGTTCTTCCGGATTCCTTTCTTCTTCAAACTCATTTCCTCCTAGCCTCTTCCTTTCTCCTTCCGATTCCTCAATCGTGAAAGAGCCAGGATTGGGCCTATTTCTTATACTTCGTGGCCCCGTATTTCTGCATGTGATAACCTTATAGTTACCACATACCGAGTCACATAAGACGAGGAACATCGTCCCATCATGCTTATTCAGTATGACGGTCTCCGTTCGGCTAAAAAAGGATCGGCCCAATAGGATGGGATGGTCGAGATCGGGCATCACAAAGAAACAGCTTCTCACTTTAACCTTGTCAATCTTCAAAACCACGCTCGATGCAGTCCCTATGAACACAGACCGACTATTCGCTCCCATTAAAACTCCATTATCGGAGCGATCAATCTCCATCCCCAAGCGTAAAGCATGCTCCTCTTTTATGAGGTTCATTTCCGCTCCCGTGTCTACCATCGCGGTGCACAGCTTTAGCTTTACCATCACTTCTACGCACCCACATGCAACGGACTTCCAGTCCATCTTAGTGCCTGTCTCAGCCCACTCTCCTTCTTTAGGGATGACAGTCCCCAAACATACGCTCGCCACCAATCGTCGGGACAAACGAGCCTTTAACTCGTCTCGCAATTTTGGAGCCGAGGCGAGGATATCTTTCAAGTTCAACAGGTCGTTATGGCCCTTGAGGAGCCTATCGACCATCCCTTCCACGTCGAACCCTTCCTCTAACTTGACTCTATACTTCCTTCTCTTGCCCTCTTGTTCCTTACCAGCGCCGACCTTTGCATCCCTCTTCTTGGCTCTTTCTTCAGCCTTCTTGTCCTCTTCCGTCTTTAACCTTTCATCCTCATCCTCCTCATCCTCGGGAATATCTACAGTCTCTTTCTCACCACTCGGTCCCGGGTTGTCCTTAGTGGGCTGGCTGGAGTCGAGTGCCTCCTTCGATCTAGTGCGTGCCGCCAAAGCTGCCCTTTCGGCTCTTGACGGCGGCCTGAAGGTCATTCCAGACCTAGGAGTTTATGTCGTGACGGTCACTCCAGATAGGTTTCCAGACCCGCCTTGTGCCCCTGGACCTGAATCGATGAGGTATACTAATGGTAACTCTCCTTTCCACCTGTTGACCTCCTCACAAAGAGTGGTCAGCTTATCCTGGTACCTCCCGATTTTTGTCAGCAGGTCCTCCTTCCTCTCCATCGTATCTCTTGCCCTCACCAAATTATCCTCTTCTCCTTCGCCGTCCGATTCAACTACTATGGGTTCCTCCTTTATGGTGCCGGCCCTCAATCTCTGCTCAACCTCTTCACTTTCGTTTATCTCCTCTATCCTCACGCCTTGACGGTCTTCTACTTCCTGCCAAATATGGAAAGCGGCCGGAGGGGCTGGTGGAGCTGGGGCATTAGCACGCCGCAGAGCTTCTTCCCTTATCCCCCCTGGGATTCTCGGGTCTATGTACTCACCGTACATGTCGAAAAAATCACCATCATAGCATGAACTTATCAGGCCATCTTTTTCATCACTCTTTCGGACCTGACATAACTTAATTGTGTGGCCCTTCTGGCCACAATGCTAACAGATGGCGTTTCTCCAATCTACCCTTCCTCTTCCATATCCTCCACCACCTTGCTGGTCACTCTGACTCCCCGCACCGTTCCACCCGTCACTTCCTCATCTCTGGGAGTTACTGTTCGCGTTTCCTCTCTCATATCCCCCACGGCCACCATTTCCTCGCCCTCGGCCCCATCCTTGATTCTGTCCTCTTCCACCACCTTGATTCCCTTGTGATCCTTGTGGGGCCGACTGCTGAGGTTGGTTTGGCGGTGGGTTTGAGTGACTCACCTATTGAGACTGGGGTCCCGTCCATCCACAGGAAGCCGTACTCATCGGCGCTCCGGCACATGATCCATGCGGCCCGCCCGTTGGCCATGGTGCATATGAACAGTGCCCATGCCAATGAATGGGAGGTCCACAACCTGACCATGACCCAGAGGGTGTTGGTGCGGCTTGACTGGACGACTCAGGAGGTGGCGCTGCTACAGCCTGCAGGGCTTGACCTTTTCCTAAGCCTTGCCCCCCTTGAGTCGTGTTCCTTACCTTCCTTTGAGCCTTTGTCAACTTTTGTGGTTCAGGCTCCTCTTCTTCTTCTTCCTCCTCCTCTAGCACTACCACCTTCTTTCCTTTCCCTTGGGCTTGTGGTGCCGCCATAGCCTTCTTTCTTGCCTCCTTCTCTGTATCGTGCTGGGCCACAGCCTCTTCTATCATTAGCTTGAAGTTGCGCCCATCACTAGCGATAGTATCCAAAGTCTTCCTTTTCTTCCTAGCCTGTTTCATCTGGAAGATGTCTACCAGGTCCAACTCTCCCTCTAGCACGCCTTCTTTTATGGCACCCCAAGTTAGTTTCTTTCCTGGCGCAACTTTCTTGGTTAGCGACGAGGCTTCCCAATTCTTGAATTGCCCCTGGAAAGTGGCACACTTCTTCTGCCAGCCCTGGGACTTTCTTTGCCATCTTCTCAAATGCTGTGGCAAAGGCTCTTACCGTGGAGAACTCGTCCCGTCTCAACATTTCCAAGTCTTCTTTTGTGAGCATGCCGTCCCCTAACTTGAGACGCCACTGCATCTCCTCTTTAAGCTTTGCCCACTCACCATTTGCGCCGGCCGCTACTTTCATTACCTCAGGTCTAAGCTTCCACCATATGTACCTAGGCATCAGCTTGAATTTATCTGCCTCTGACGCCTCGCAAGTGACCTGCTCCAACAACTCAAGCCACTCGGACACCCTATCCCCATTGAAGTGGAAGATGTTAAACTTGGGCACATGAAGCCGTGCCATCTCTCTCTTTTCCAAAGCCTTGACGAAGTTCTCGGGTGTAGCACCCGGGCTCTGCTCGATTCCCTCGAAGTCCGGCGTCTTTGTCCTTTCTCAAAACCTGTTGCGAAAAAAACGATTTCGACAAACAACCTGCCGTCAAACCTCTAAATTCTCTAGTTTCGTTATTCGATCGAACATACTTTTAATAACTAAGGTAGTCTATCGGGTCTTTATATCGTAATTCCGACTCTATTATTTGAAACGAATACACATAAGGCACACCCTTAACCTTACTCGCAATCAAAAATAAATTTTGTTAGTCCACCAAAGATAGCACAATACTCATATCATCATCAAACTTCTTCATCAAGGGTTGTCGATTTGCCTGAATTATCAGCCTGCTCTTAACCTGGGTTCGTTCACTGTGGACCCCGGTAGGCAGCCGAGATCCCCGACAACGGCGCCACCTGTCGAGCGCATCGGTCCCGCAAGCGGACCCTCCCGGCCGCATCACGCAGGATTTGGTAGGACTTCCGTTGCGGAAAGCGAGGTGCCGCTCCGACCGAGTGCGCCAGTCGTACCTCTCGCGAGTCCCTGCGAAAGGACAGAGCCACGCGAGGCACCACGTTACCTCCACCTGCGGGAGTTGTCACCATCCCTTAGGTGAACGTATCCCCGCCGAGCTACTGAACCACATGCGAAAGCTTTTCGTATGCAATTGCAGAGGTGGTCCAGCCGAAAGCGTTTCTAGTTTGTTGTAGCATAGGGGGTTACACGCGGTTGAACGCCCGAAAATGGAACCCGCACGCGAATCGACGCACTGGGGGGCTGAAGTCCCAAGCGCGACCCGGCGTCGGTCGAGTAGGACGCACCCTACACACCACACGTTACGCCACAATACTCACATCTACCCACACATAACACATGGAAAAACACAAAACAAACACAACATCACAACACTCCTGGTCTCTTCAGTATCCGACCCACAACTTCATGCCGCGAGAATCAGGTAGGTTCCGCGCGCTGGACTTTCGTATAAGAGTCGTGCGCGCGCATGGCCTCCTCATATCGACCAGCCATGCAGGCATTCGCAAGCATTTACGCTGTTGGGGTACTATGTGGTACTCATAGCCTCGAGGCCTTTGATAATCTCGAGGGTCGCGTTCGACACTCAAGTATCGGCTGACAGGCGCTTTGAGGGGTAATCTCTCGACGCAAGACAACCGCCATGTGCGGCTGAAGACCACACCCTCTTCCGCACCCTGTGCAGAGGGGTTGAGTAAACAGCTTCAGAGCTGCTTCAGAGCTGGCGTGGTAGCCAAAATCAAGGGGTTTGACTTTCGCGGCTACCACGGACTACAACGTCCAACCAATAAAATTTAAAAGAGGAAACAACTGCAAATAGAAAGGGAGGATCGCCCTATTTTATCTCTCTGTCTAGCTCATAATCTGATAGCAGTCTCAAGTGAAAGGTGTAGGCCAACCTGCGAGATGCGTGCGGATGGTGCCCAAAATCGGGCCCATAGGCAACCCGTTGTTCGAGGCGTTGGAGGCTCGTACGCGAGCCCCCATACGTTGACTGGGATTGATATCTCGCCCATGCGCCGTTTTGCGCTATCGAAACTCGGGTCTACTAGCCATAACGCGCCTTTGCCCTTTTTGCTTGACCCATAACTTTAGAGCGCGAAAATTGATAAGCGTTGCGCGTATGGTTTAGTATAAGGCCGTGCGGATGCAGGACCCACTCATATGGACCAACAATACGGATTTGCGCACTCAGTCGTGATGTCGGCGCACTAAGTGATGCATATACACGAGTGGCCCCTTTTTGAGCCATGGGATCGCTCTCGATACTCAGGCATTGGCTGAAGCGCACGCTAAGGGGGGTAAGCCTTTAGCAAGCGCAAGACCGACCTAAGAGCCTTACCATCTTCTGCACCCTGAGGTGCCCCAAAGGCTGCGGGGTAAGATGGTCCCTAGGGCAGGAAGGAATTCGGAGCGGTGGTGAGTTGTCTGGCGCATCACCAGCAGCACGCTAATCCTTCCGCCCGGAACTTTATCGTTCCACCAAAATAACCTCAACAAGGATGAAAAACGAATCCTCTTAACACTATCGGAAGAAAATACCTTCAATGTTAGTCTGGGACCTGGGACGTCCCGGACAAGGATCTTGGTTTCCAGGCTTGGGACAACTGCCCTACCACACGAAGTCAAAGAGAATAAAAAAACGTAAGCACGCGGTCGCATAACCTTGTGAGGGTTATTCGAATGTGTGCTTACTAAGAATATTCACGATATCGAGACGGAGAGAAGCAATCTCAGYCAGTCAAGCAAAAGGATGTGTGGTGGTTCACTCTCACGACAGTAGTGTGGTTTGCCCATCTTAATCCAATTCACAACCAACCATCAATTYGATCGAGGCTTCTTCAYACATACCTGCGATCATGCATAAAATCCAAACGATATCACACACACTAAAGGGGTCAACTTTTCAKTCTTCTGCATCTCACACCCTGCCTTACGMACACAAGCCCAACCTTTTCCCCACCTTTCAAGAACAAAGATACTCAGTCCTTAAAGAAATGGTCATTTATGAAGAATCAGGGTGAAAACCCAAGAAAACATAAAACCCAGCAAGGGCCAAGGYCTTAGGTTGAGAAGCAGAAGTAGTAGGAAAATTGAGTCGTAAACCGACGAATCGGCAACCGACCTATTATCGGTGATAACAGAAGAGTAATCCTCAACATGATTAGGCTGGCAAATTCAAGCCTTCAATCTAATCACAGAGACCTGCATCACAGTACAGGCCAAAAAAAAACCACTACTCCATTTACCCCACATGGAGAGTACTTTCTAGCTCGTATCCTAGCCCATCTATTGATCTTATGCTCAKCTTCCCTTACTAGTGCCAAGTCACTAAGAAATTCGGCAGCATCTTCCCTACTCGAGGTGGATTTGCCAAGTTTCTCCTAGCAGAAATTTATTCTAACCCCTCGAATTTCACGAAATTTCGGCAGCGCTTCCCGTAGGAAAAGTGTCTTTTCAGAATTTATGAAAGCCCAAAAAATGACGAACTCTTTCAGATTTGTAGAAATTTCAGCAGCACTTTCCGTAGAAAAAGATGGCTGTCAAGATTTATACAAAGCTGAAAATAGAAGGACAAAGCAAAACAATACTTGGGACTAACTTTTGACGCTTACTTGGAAGGTAGTATCAGCGATAGTCTGCACGACCTCTAGATGAGAGCGTGGGCTAGCACTCATCCTAACTCCCAGCAGAGTCAAGTCCTATCTTATCCCAAGCTTCTCTCCCATCATCCATCTTATCTGCCTATGGGTCCAACACTCAGCGAGCATCTAAAGCAACTAACCCTATCAAAAGATGCCCCTGAGTGAGAGCCCGCAAACACCCACACAAACAATCACAACGCACATCTCTCACCAACCCTCAGGTTTCTTTCAACCTCATAGTTTATTCAAAAACCTCGTTATTCCCTTTTACATYCCTCTTTCCTATGGCATACGGTCAGACAAGACCCTAACCCTAGGGTATGCCTGACCTRCCTAGGTACACAAGTAAGGCACGCACATTTGGAGTGCCCTAACCCTAGGGTGTGCCCAACATAATATCAACTATACACATAAGGCATATGCCTGACTRACAACAAGTGCATAGGACTGGGCTGCCCTAACCCTAGGGTGTGCCTAGTCTGCTTTGAACAAAGTTACATACGGCATCATTCTAGACYATCCCTACCCAGGGGTAGGTCTAGCTTGCCTGAACATAAGTACAAACGACAAAAAGTTGAACCGCCCTAACCCTAGGGTACGTCCAACCCACAGCACATCAATGACAAAGGCATATCACTACGCCGCCCTAACCCTAGGGTACGCCTAGTTAGCCATACAGTTCAAGTCACATAAGGCAATGWGATTAGGCTGCCCTAATAATTATAAACACTGAAATGTTGGACCGCCGTAACCCTAGGGTACGTTCAACTTACATTAAACGACAAAGGCTTATCGCTAGGYCGCCCTAACCCTAGGGTACGTCTAGTTAGCCATACAACAGAAAATAGGGTACAAATACTGTCACAGACTTTCTGTTTTTCCTTCTCTTGTTAGGCAGTCAATCGGAYCTTTCCAACTAGTGGAACTTCCGATTCAGCCTCATGTCTAGAAGGGGAAATAAAATCARATTTATACTAACTCTCTGCTCCTTAGTGTTATCATAAGCATATAATTGAACCGCCCTAACCCTAGGGTACGTTCAGTCTGCCCAGTTACCTTTGTTTTACTCTTCATTGCTTTCCCTCTTCCTTAGCTCTACCTGACTTACTGACTGGCTTTCCCCACCCAGGGCGCCCGGTCTGTCAGAAGTATAAGTTCAAATTGTATATATATCAAGTTTTATACTCTAGTTGACCATTTAGTTCATGACTCATGGCTAAGCCTCCCTAACCCTAGGGTACGCTTAGTCTTATGCCGTTACTCCCTCAGAAGAAAACATACACGAAAACTCATTAAAATAAACACCAGGATTCTGAGCCTTCCTCACCCGGGGTGCCCATCCTCCTGTTCAGAAACCCTCAAATAAAACAGCGACTGATCCTATCCCACCCGGGTAGACCATCCATAAGAGTCACTCATTCAGATCAGCAAACCTCAATAAAACACAGCACTGAGCCCACATCCACCCGGAGGGGCTCAGCCTTGGGTGGACCTGGTCAAACGCATGCAAAAACTCCTTTCTCTCTCCTTCCCCCAATTCCTTTTATCTGAATTCGCTCAAAGTATCTAACTTTTCTCATATATAAGTGTTTATTTAACCTTTCGCAGAGCATGTCCTGACATACATAACAAAAGTAAGAAGTAATAACCTCACATAGCTGTGTTCAAGTAGCCTTAGGATAAAGGTTAGGGCAAGGGGTCACACAGGTTAACGAAGATATACCTGAAGTTCCTTGCCTCCATAACGCCGCCTGGGCTCCGGCAGAGCTCCCGCAATCGGTGGGTGGATCTCCCACAAGGTCTTGATGCGGACCTACGGGTTGCAATCCCACCTACCGCCTTTCTCTTGTAACCTCAGACTAGACTTAGAGTAAGAAAGGTAGAAGTAGGGGTTTCAGACGCTCCAGATACAAGACTCAACTCG